ATTTACATTTGGGAAAAACGAAGCAGGGCTAATTCTCCTGAATTGGATAATACAAATGGGCATAGTCCAGGAGAGAAAACTTGAAATGATTTACAGAATAGAAGAATGTAAAAGGGGAGGAAAAAAGATTTGCTCACTTATATGTGAGAAGGCACAATGAGTAAGTGAGAAAAAGACATTTGGTAAGCTAAAGAGCATGTCAGTTATAGGGGAGCTTGGCACAGGGTTTAGGATTATCTTTAAGCTACAGAAAGCCTTTGGTGGATTGTAAGGCTGAAGAAGGACATAATCAGATTTCCATTTTCAAAAGGTCCTCTGGGCTGCGTTTGTGTATAGAATACATTGTGAGTAACCAAGAATGTAAATGAGATTATTAGTTAAGAGGCTGCAATATTGCGTTAGGCAAAATATTTATGACTTGACTCAGTGGAGTCGAAGTAGTGATTCAGAGTGGACCTAAAGGGTATGGAAAATTGATTAAGTGGTGGATCCAATAGTGTTTGAATATGGATTGGATATGGTGGGATGGTGGCTTTCAGTCAAATTTGCCTCCTAGGTAATAGCTGCCCTCTCCTAACTCCTCTGCCTCAGGGCTTGCTGATGGATGGAAAGCTGGAGACAAGAAGAAATTGAGTGTGAGTTTGCTCTTCAGACAGCTGGCTCCTGACAGGTTGACTTCCCATGGAAGTCCATGTAGTTAACTACACACATACACTTCTGACACTAGAAATGACTCTCCTAGGAGAATTAACTTTTATATCACTCAAAAACAGTGCCTCTATTCTCAGTCTGGCATACACATTTTGGTAGCTTGTGTGCCAGCAGCTATCAAGATTTACAGCCTTTCCACAAACTCAAGCAGATGTGTGTGAAGAAATGAGGAATAGGGTGAGGAAAACACTATCTTCTTTCTATATAAAATATGAGTATGCTATGTACCTTAATGTGACTTTTATCTATCAGTTTGCCTCAAATGTTTTGGAATATAGGACAGTTCATCTCTTAGAAAAATTGTGTTTCCATTCATTTTTTTAAATTATGGCTTGATGAGGTTAAATAAAGTCATATTTCCTTTGCATTTAAATATATATATATATATGTGTGTGAATGTATTTATACATATACACATATATATGTTTATATATTATATAATATATAAATATATATAATACATATATATTATATATTATATATATATATCCCTATATCATTTTCCATGCCAAACATTCCAGAATTGGAATTCCAGAATTGGTTAACTCTAGGTTCTCCAGAGTAATATGGATTAGTCATATCCAATCCTTGACAAAATATGTTTCCTTCTCATTCTCTTCCTTATAGAAAGCAGAGCCCTGCTCTCAAGTGCTTCCTCGTGTGGGAACTTCTGCTGTGTTGTGCAGCACCACTGATTCAATGAGGAAGCTCGCAGCTTAGTAGAGCCTCAGCTGAATGGTGGCCACAAAGCTTGCTCTCAGGTTAGGGGCTTTGAGCTCAAGAAGGTAACATCTAGAACTAACTGACTCAACAGTGACTCACTCATTATCAATCAAACTTATCATTTCGGGTGCTATTTAGGTACCTATAACCACCTAAAAAATAGATTCTGGATTTTTGGTAAAATGAGCCACACACACAATTCACTAAATATTTATTATTCTGTCACCAACACTAATGTTGTTGAACATGGACCAGACTTACCCACTTTAAAGTTCACCCTTCATCATACTGGAGTCTAATTTGACTAGAAAAACTCCCTTATTAAATCATAAGTAGCCCAAATATATCACATTCTCATAGAATCTTTACCAATCTATCTGCTCTTCAGATTTATCCTTTCTTATTATCAGAGCATCTTTGTCTTAGTAGTTTAATGTTGTTCCTTAAAGTCTGCACTTTAAGGCACGGTCTATGTCCTCAGTGATCATGTGAAACCCTGGACACTGAGGCAGAGTTTTTAAAATCTTTCTCTCTGTATTCACAAAACTTTTCCTGCTATGTCCTCATAGTAGTCGGGAGGGGAGTTACGTCAAGAAGGATATGGTCTGGAGAATGCCGCTGATCACTCGGGTAGTCTTCTCAAGACGGAAGTCACTGTGTGCCTGGTTAGGATCCTGGTTTTATGAGTTTCAAATTAGTCTCTGAGTCCCTCAACTACAACCAGTCTCCTGGGGACAAACTCTTCCTCAATGAATGTAGAGGGACTTAAAAACAAACAAACAAACCCTATTTTATCCTTAGCTGGAAGCCTCTGAGTGCCACAGATAAATCCTTGACTTACCCAAGAGGTTGGATATTCAAACCTGCCCAGCGGTACCTCGGAAGACAGGCCTATTGATCTGCTTTTGAAAGTCATAGCCTCAGGAAAACCCTGTGAAGAAGTTTTATTCTGGACACATGTAGTTAATACTGTTGAGTAAGTGAACTAATAGATGAATGTGGTTTGGAGAAAGACTACGTATATTCAATCCTGACTCTACCACTTGCCCTTGTATATTGTAAGTAAATAGATACATAGGTGATGGTGGTTGTTGTTCTATAGAGTTGCCTGTGACTCACAGCGACCCTATATACAACAGTTCTGAAGCTTGCCTTGTCCTGAGCCAGTCTCACTGACTCTCCCACTGCCCCAGTTATCATGTCAATCCACCTCATCTGCGGTCTTCCTCTCCTGGGCTGTGCCTTTTTGCCCTTCTGAACACGACGTTCTCCTCCAAGGACTGGTCCCTCCTGGCCATGTGCCCAAAGTCTGTGAGACAGAATTTCAAAACCCTTGCCTCCAAGGAGAAACTTGGTTTCACCCTCTCCAAGACAGACCTATTTGTTCTCCTGGCACTTCATGGTATGTTCCATACTCTTCTCCAGCACCACAACTCAAAGGCATCAATTCTTCTGTCATCCTCAGTCATTGTTCAGATACATAGGTAGATAGAGAAATAATAGATTAAAGGAAAATAAAAGCAACCCACTGCAGTCAAGTCAATTCCAATACATAACGATCTTCAATCAGGTCCAAAGCTGTAATCTTTATGACATAAGACTGCCATTTTTCTCCCAAGGAGCAGCTAGAGGGTTCAAATCACCATAAATCAATCATCATAAAGTTGTCTATATGAGGGTTATCTATGCCATACTATTGACTGAGGAGGAAGTTAGGTAACCCAAGAAAAGCCTTTAACAGAGTTTCTTTAATACAACAAACAGAAGTATATTTGTATTTATTTTTCAGCAATACAGAGGCCTTCTTTAGGTCATCGCCAATCAGGAAGTGAGAAGACTCACTACAGGAAGTTACACTTCCTATCCCCATCACACCACATCAAAGAAAACATGGTACATATGGGGGGGGGACACAATGGAAAAAATGAAAGTTACAGTTAAAAAAAGGCATTGATTAATGACAAATAACTATATAAAACACATGTATATGAATTAACGTATCAAATGCAATGTACATGAATAAAAAAATACAAAAAGTAAAGAAAAAGAAGACAATAGAATACAGTCACCTCTAACTACAATCCATTGTCCCCAGGTTGCATGCTATGTCAGTTTACCAAAGTTAAGAAAATTTAAATATCAAATACAATGTATACGAATAAAAAATACAAATAAAAAAACACAAAAAGTAAAAAAAGACAATAGTTAAAAAAAGACATTGATTAATGACAAATAACTATATAAAACATATGTATATGAATTAACGTATCAAATGCAATGTACATGAATAAAAAAATACAAAAAGTAAAGAAAAAGAAGACAATAGAATACAGTTACCTCTAGCTACAATCCATTGACCCCCAGTTGCATTCTATGTCAATTTACCAAATTTAAGAAAATTTATATATAAATTTTAGATGACTCAGGCTGAAAGTTAATTTTTAATTCTATTTCTGAATTTTATTTTTAAAAGCATATATAACTTGTTCTTCTACACAGCATCAGGGCAGATCCACAGAGCGGGCTGCTATGGTGGGAACAGAGGTCAAGGATCAACTTGAAAGTCTTCAGTAGCAAATAAAAGTCCAATGAGAAATGGATTATGCAGTAATGGAATTTATTAGGTCACATAACAAGAAATCTACAGCTTCAATAGTTATGGAAACATGATTAGAATACAGGTTTTATTTTTCTGAAATCAAAGCCCTGGAAAGTAAGACTCAAAGTGTTAGGTTAGTAAGGCTTCATCATCTCCTTCCTGACAAATAACATTCTTCTACACAAAACTTGGTGCTTTGATGAGAGCATCAGGTGAAAGGAAGAACAAGAAAGAATGAAATAACTATAAAACAAAAATCCATTTTAGGGAAGAAAAATCAGAGATCAAAATATATATGGAGATACAGAAATATATACGTACATGTATGTGTATATATAGTTTTCTGAAGCTCTGCCTGATATGCTTTGGGCATGTTGTAAGAAGGGACCAGTCCTTGGAGAGGGACGTCATGCTTGGGAGGGTGGAGGGACAGTGCAAGAGAGGAAAACCCTCGATGAGATGGATTGACTCAGTGACTGGGCTATTGGGGGTAGGTGTGTTGGACACAATGAGGCTGGCTCAGGATAGAGCAGGGTTCAGAGCTGTGGTACATGTTGCCATGAGTCTCAGGTGACTCGATGGTACATAATAATAACAGCAACAACGTATGTGTGAATCCTGGTCTTTGTTTTCCCCCATTTCCTTACAGTGATTTAAAAAGGAATCATTACGTGAATAAATGGCTAACCCTCAGCCACTAGCAGAAATGTTGTCAGTTCAAAATCACCAGAAGGCTTCTGGAAAACACACGTGGCATGTGCTTCCAAAGGTCACAGCACTGAAAGACTTAAGGAGAAGTTGCAATCTACATGGCAACTGACAACAGGAAGATTCAAAATCCTTGTGAATCCTGAGGATCCAAGAAAACCTTCTCCCCCATCCTTCTTCTCTCAAGTCCTGCTTTATCCTTTTTTTCCTATTCTCTGCTCCAGCTGTCTCCCCCCTAATCCTCATCCTTAGTCCTTGTTTAGAGTTTGCTTTTGGTGGGAATAAGGTGTTGCCTGAAAAATGTCTGAATCTCCCCCCAGGCATGTTCCTGAGCTGCCGCATGAGCAACAGGGTCCCCTCCCCACAGAGCAGGCCAGGGAGAGCCAGGGCTCCAGGAGGCGTAGCACAGGGGGGCATAAGGTGGCTCTATGAGGTGTCCCGCTCCAGGGTACGCCAGCATCCTTCCAGTGCTCCTCCCGTGACTCTCCAACTGTTTCAAAGCTTGCTCAGCACACACTCTACCATTGAGACACTCATCATTCTGTCCAACAATGAAGAGGATCCAACCTCGAGCCTTTTCAACTGGGAGGACACTCTGCTGATTCAGTTCATGGCCAGGATCCCCAAAGTTGTGGCGGTAGCGCAAAGCTCCAGAGACATGGACTTGGGTGTGCTCTTTAAGATAATTCATGGGATTCACAACTAGATCCTTGTACCTGAGTGGAACTTTAGAGATAGCATTTAACCCATTGATACAGATAGTGGCGACCACCTGCTTCAGGTAGCAGGCCATGGCCAGCCCAATCTCTGCGCCTTTGCACACAGAAATCACTCCAATTCCAGATTTTTGAATCTGCAAGGAGAACACAAAGTAGGGCCCGTTAAAAGCCATTGTAAGAAATGCTCTTCTGTCCCACAGAACAGCCTGACATACTGTGAGTAAGCCAGTGTAATGAGAAAGAAGCAAATTCAAGTCCTGGCCATTGGATCTACCAGCTTCTATCCTAAGAGAGTTAGCGACTGACTCTTGTCATTTAGAAATCATTTTATAAACCTTGTCATATTTGGGAATGACAATAATATAAAGCTCAGGATTGTTACAAGGATTAAGAATAAATAACACTTTATCAAAACAGTCCTGGAAGGTATGAATTAGTTTGAGCTCAACTAGCACTGTTGGCATAGTCTGTGACATGCTTTTCTATGAGTCAAAAGGCTGATGGTTTGAATATACCAGATACTTCACGGGAGAAGGATGTGTAGTATTCTTTCATAGATTCACAGCCACACAAATGCAATAGAGGGCTGTGATGCGTCATCTAATTCACGCATTGATAATGAAATTTGGGATTATTAGCCAAATATTTGGTAGTTCAAATATGGGCAGAGCAGGCTGCAGGGGGGGAAAATTTGCTGACAATATACTTTTGTCCAATTATAACAATTTAAAACCATCTAGTGTTCAGTTCTATTTTGATACACATCAGAACACTCTGAATCTGCCCATCTTTCTCCAGTGGAGCAGCCACTGGGTTCAAACCATGTGCCTTTGGGTTGACAGTGCAGTTCCTTAACACTAAACCGCCAGAGCTCTAATGCAACCCACTGCCCCATCAGGACTCTTTCCAAAAGATCATGACCACTGAAAACCCATGGAGTGCAGTTCTGCTCTGAAATGCATGGAAACACCATGACCCAGAAGGAACTAGCCATAAACGGTTAGTTCAGCTAGCTAATCAGATGAGCCAGCAAGTCAACGTTGTTGGAAATCTTGCTCTGATCTTGTGCTCCAGCTGTTATTCACAGTTTCAGAACCTTTTAGTGTGACTGACACTAGCATTATCCCATGCAAAGAAAATCACTGAAGTTGGAAACCGTGCCACGCTAGGAAATCAATGACTCTGAGCTCATTCTCTGATAAAAATTCAAGAGTTGTTTATCTCAAGAAGTAGTTTATGAATTTATGACATAGCGTAGCACAGACTGGTAAAATAGAGAGGCCAGACCCTTGTGGTCTTGCTGTAATGTCACAAGGTAAAATGAAAAGTATATGAAATACCTTGGGGTGAGCCAGTAGCAAGTTGGCGGCTTCCTCAAAATATCCCAGATCCACCTCCAGCAGTTGTCTGGGCAAGTCATCATAGGCAAAATATGCTAATGCCAACACCGCAAAACCACGTGCAGCCAGAAGACTGGCCCGGAATTCAACCAGACCCCCAATGCCTCCAAACAAATCAATGACTCCTGGGAATGGGCCCTCCCCTGAGAACAGAGGAAGAGAGTATTGGAAAGGGTGTAAAGAGCACTGAGTCAAAGTAAAATCTGAGCAAAATGTATCCCATTTCACACATGTACACCACCCCCTCAACAGCATGCTAGCTGTAAAAATTATGAGAAATGCTGATTCTCCAACAATTTGATGTCATACCGTTTTTTTAAATTTCCATTCACAGTTTCGTCAAACTTTAATCTCACCTGGAGGGAGGAACAGGGCTCCTCGCACTCGGCCTTCCCGGATCTGCATCCGGATCATCCCGGACCTGGAGTACCAGCGCTGCACCGTCTGTCTGGCCCTGGGTGGAGCTGCATCTGAATCTTGGAAACAAACTGAGTCATAGAGTTCCAGGGTGATCCAAAAGGGGCTGTTCATCACATCCCTCTTGAGGAGCCTCCGGAAAGGTCTCTTGGGCTTCAGAGACCAGAAGAGGCCCATTGGATGGACCCCCACGTAGTCACCTCCCAATGCAGGCTCCTGCTCCAGGTCCACTTTACCAGCCTCATTAGCCCTGTAGAAGGCTCTCGCCTGGAACAAGTTTCCCTTCTCATCCTGCAGAGATGCCTTCAAAGTCACCATCTGAGACGGGGGCAGCCCTGTCGCGTAGATGTGTACTGGCTCATCTGCAAGAGCGCTTGCTGGGGTGGCTGTCAGCTGACACATTGCCAATCTTTGCTGAGATCAAGGGCTGCCTCCTGCCTCACCAACAGAAAAGAGACTTTGAGTTGAAGTTTCAAGGAAATGCCTATAAGGCTCATGTGTGTTCTAACCATTACTCATTAGAGCCCTTGATTTGTGCAGGTTTATGAGAGGAAAAGAGGTTTTTTAGGAGATGTAGCAACGGAAATAAACCCAGAGCCACAGGACTCCAAAGTGACCACTTGCCCTTGGTTTAATTTCAGGCACTTAGACCACAAATCAGGATTGCACTTGTGGTCACATAAACATCATCTGAAATAGTTAAAAGTAAACCTATTCAAGGGTAAACTGTAAACACTGACTTTGGTCTGTTCCTAGGACTATATATTTGTTTCTCCTGTGCTGTTTACATGAAGAAACTAGAAAGGGTGCCTAACAGTTTTAAAAACAATTATTTTTTTATTGTTGTTGCTCCTAATAACTTAGATATGTATATATTTATCATTTACTCTTTTTTATTTTTTAAATTTTAAATTGGTTTGCTTACTAAGTTTGTATAAATTGTGTTTTATATAATCATACCCATTCACTGTGTTTTATGAAAACTAATCACCATTGAACTATGCCAATCATCTATTTTTATGAGGTTATGATGACTTTGCTACATAAAGAAAGGCACTGAAGTAAGAAAACATTTGCAGCACCTGCGGTAGGGGCGGGGGGGGGGGGGGGGGGGCGCGGGGGGGGGTCGGGGCGGGGGGGGACGGAGAGAAGGGGGGGAGAGAGAGAGGAAGACGTGCTTCAAGTGCTCCAGGAAGACATGCTTCAAGTGCTCATTTTCTCCGTATATAAATGAGAAGGAGGTTAAGTCACATGTTCACGATTGTATAACTGGGAATTCAAACTAGATCTGACACCTGGATCTCCTGGAGTCTTTGTTAACTTGCAAGTTAATCTTGGTTTTCTGCTTTTAGTAAATTGAGCTTTACTCTGCAGGTTGAGATAATGCTTTTGTGACCTATTTCACAGAATGATCAAGGGGGGTAAGACATAATAAAGCCTTCAGTGCTGTTTCCAACTCCCCCACCTGCCTAGAGTAAAGTTACATACACAAACAATACACTGTGAGGTCTTGTCTTTGTGTCTAATTCCTACCTCCCTCTGCAAGACCTCCAGACCGTCGTCGAGTTCTCATTACTCATTCTGTTTGGTTTTTTATTTTCTCACCTAACGGAACTTAAAACTTCATGGTGCTGTCTGGTTTTATGCCTTACCAATAGCGTGATAAAATACTGATTTCACTGTGTTCAACCTGCAGCATTTTGGCTAGTAACTGAATTCTTCCCAGTTCCACTCGTAAGGTTCCTCTGGAGCCACTTGTTGTTGTTGTTGTTATGTGCCGTCGAGTCGTTTGCGTCTCATAGCGACACTACTCCAGTATAAATTAAAGACAATGGTTCCAGGGAGTCTCCATGGATCATTCTACAACCTGTGCCCTTGTAATCGCAAGGTCTTCTTTAACATGTCAGGTCTTCTCTAGTTCTGATCAGCTCTTTCCTCTAACTGGGCCTGCCTGTGGTTCTGTTTTACAGCCAAACCTTCACTCTCTGTCCTTGACCTCAAATCACTAGCTAGTCTTTATAGATTTCTTAGGATCACTTCATAGGACGCCCTGGTAATTGATTCCAGGAGTCCTGGTGGCACAGTGGTTAAACTCTCAGCTACAACCAAAAACTAGTGGCTTGAACACCCAGTTACCCTATGGGAGAAAGATGTGCCGATCTGCTTTTGCGAAGATTCCTCTAAATTCACAGCAACTCCATCAGTTCACACTCATAACAACCCTCCAGCGGGTTTCTGCGGCTGTAAATTGCAATGGGAGAAGGCTGCTCAACTTTCTTCCACAAAACTGCTGGGGAAGTGGAATTGCTGGAGACGTACAGCCTTTGGATTAGCAGCGCAACTTGCTATGGACCAGAGCTCCCTTCTGCAGTGATTGCAGCCAAGTTCTAGTCTGTCCTGCAGGGTCACTGAGAATTGGAGTTGACTTGATGGCACTCCATAGGGGTTAGGGTGACTGATACATCAATGCTTTTGCTTGTTTGCTTTTAAATTCCTCATATAAGGACTTTCTGAACATACGTAAGCTCTTTAGCAGTCAATTTAATTATGAGGGAGCTCTGGTGGCCTGGTGGTTAAGAAGCTGCACTGCAGTTCCGATGGCGGTGGGTTCCAACACCATGGTACACAACAACAACAACAGGAGTCAAGAAGATAGCAAACATGTCTCCTGGAGGAAATCAGAATCCCTGGTTGCAAGAAATCATAGGTTGTGTGAACAGAAGCGTATTTAGAATATGGTTTTTGTCAGAACCTGGGCATATTGTTTAAAAGATGTGTCATTTTAAGAAACAACAGCATAACAACAATTACCAGCAATGGATGAGAAAGTAAAGTGAGAAAAGCATTAAAAAAGCCAAGCAACTAAAAAAAACCAAAAAATCAGAAACTATGGCACAGAAAAATCTGGAACTGGAAAGCAATTCGTCCTGAGGATACAGTCATAGCATTTTTCACTTAAAATAGTATGAATTTCATTCTAGATTTTCTCTCGGGTCCCAGACCATATTAGTTTTAAGGTTCCTACAAGAAGTTATACTCTGTAATATGGTAGCTACACACTAACGATGTGGTTATGACTAATATTACCTTTTCCATATTTGTCATGTTTCAGATTTTTTTACAATAAAACTTTTAATCTGTATTATTTGTAAAATTTTTCATTATTTTATAACAATAAAAAACACTTATGTTCATATTGCCAGAACTGAAAACTGAAAGCTCTTTAATAAAGTCTTATCATTTACTTTTAAAAAAAGAAACAATACTACAGTAACAATAAAAAAGGGGGAGCAGAAAAGAGATAAGTGTATCCAACATAAAGAAATGAAGCAACCCATGTTCTCCCACTGTGTTGCCATCCACCTGTGGTCCTTACCTAATACGCGGTGCCTAACCCCTCCCAAATGCATAATTACAACCTGACTGCACCTTTTACTCATCAACTTGCCACTCTAAACTCCTGCATTATTTGAGAACATTTGGAAAATATCATTAGATTTCCCAAGGGCATGCTTCAGTTAGTTCCAGCATCACACTCTGTCCTTTACATTTAATCCAAAAATCAATAAAACACTGGGTTTAATTTTAATGCCTCTGGTTTCAGAAAGATAGGTTTAAGCTCTGAGTCTGCAACTTTCTACCTGTTACTGGCTTGGATAGATAAATTAAACTGGAAATATTCAATTTCCTCTTTGTAAAATGGGAAAATAATAGTGTCTTCCTCATTTTTAAACTAAAGTTAAATAATATGGGCACTTAGCACAGATAAGTAAGGATCAAGAACTAATTTAGAATGTGAAATAAAGTTTTTTTAAATCTTACTTTGAAAAGTAAGTCACTTGGAAAGTGACTTTGAATGTATTTTGTCAAGGCCCAACACATTATTGAAAAGAGTCAACCCAGAAGCAAGAGTAAAGTAACAATAAAAGGAAAATAGAAAAACAGAGAAATAAGTAATAAATAAAGGTTGTTTCATGAAATACAAGTTCTCTTGGAAATTATACCGTATCTTATTAAATGTCAGAACTATATCCTTTTTTACTAGCCAGGCATGCATTTTGTCTCCACAGATGGTCATTAAGTCATCTCACGATACAGCTGATACATTTGTCAAAATTTTATGTTCCTGAGAAAAAACCAGCAGGGATGGTTATCACTGGTCCCTCAGAGAACCTGTGGAGATGAGAGAATACACCCACAATGAGATGAGCCTTCTTAGGAGGCCTGCAGGCTGTCGTAGCAGGAAGCAGACCTTGTCTAATGTGCAATGATAGTTCCAACTCCTTCAAACACTCACCCTGAGTTCAGCTACAGAAGTAGGAGAGAGCTGAGCCTTGTAGAACAGGACGGCCTATCTGTTGCTTGTTGGTTTATGTCCAAAATACTGCAGTTGGTTGTTCAAAGTTGAAAATGTCTTCACAGAAACTATGAGCTGACACTCCCTATGAGGCTTCTGTGACAAGAGTCTCAGCGGATGTTGCCAAGGCGTCAGGTTAGAGCCTCAGTCTCTGCTGGTCTGCCTTTCAACGCAGGCATTTCATAATGGAGTCTAATATTTCATCACCTGGCTCCGGTTTCTAAGCCTTTCCCCTTGACTCCTCCTCTGAAACTCCTGTTTCCAATCTTCTTTTCATTTCCTTCTCTGTCTCCTCCTTCCAGGTGCTGCCTATAAGGCAGCTGGCTGGATGATAGTCTCTAAGAAAGTGCATCTCAAACATCCATGTTTGAAACAGTCTTCTGCTGGCTGTACAAAACTTACCTGAGCAGTTAGTTAAAGAAAGATTCCTAGACCCTAAACCTGAAAAGTCTGATTTAATAAATCTGGGATGTGTGGGTTGTTTTCTTTCCTAAAAAGAAAATTTTGTTTTACATTGGTTTGCTTACATAGTTCATATAGATTGTGTTTCACACTGTCCTTCATTTACATAGTGTTTCATACATTTACATTCATTGTTTTTTCAAATTATTATTTATACATCATTCATTTTTGTATAATTATTCATACATAGTTTCTGTTATGTACATTTTGTTTTATACAATCATTTCTGTATATATGTTGGGTTTTTATATTATTTTTTTAAATTGGTTTGCTTATAAAGTTTATGTATGTTGTGTTTAGCACTATTCTTCATTCACATGGTATTACATACACTTATTCTCATGCATTATGCTTTATAAAATTAACCACCATTGGACCTTGCCCATCATTACCCTGTCTTTTTGCCTGGATCCTTCCCATTTGCTTCCTTCAACTCCCTCTTCCCACCAAAGTATGCAGCCCTGTGGCTTCACCTGTACCTATCTTCACCCATCTGCTCCCCCATTCCTCCACCTTGAGTTCCTGTACATGTTTTACTAATTATCTTTCTATTTTTACAATAATGGTCTTATGCAGTATTTGT